AAATAAATTCAAAAGATATTAGCTGAAATAATATACTGAACTCTGGGATTGAATATATCTATTAAAGAAGAGGATTTTAACTATTAAGGAAAAGGAAAGAAAAGGGAAAAAAGGAAAAGACATAATGGAGAAACTATTTGTTGATATAAGATTAGACTTACAAGAGTCAAGATTGAATTTTCAAGATATAAGGAACATGATAAAAATTAAGCTTGAAATGTGCAATTATGTACTACAGAAATTAGAAGTGGTGACTCACCATACACAAGAACAAAATAAACCAGAGAGGAAGGAGTTTTATAAAGAAGAAGCCAACATTGAAGGACAAGATGAACAACAATTATTTAAGCAGTGGGGAAAAGGAATTAGAATTAAAAATTTGTGGTCTGATGGGATGTTAAAAGGGAGAATGGTTCAGAAAATGGATAAAGGGAGAGGGAAAAAGCAGAAAAAGGGCAAAAGAAAAATCAAAAGAGGGAGAGAGAAAAGTTTAATAACTGGAATGAGAAATGGAGGGGAATAAGAATGGGAAAAAGGGGAATTAAGAGAAAGGACCAGAAAACAAAGAGGAATAGGAAACAAACAAGGATGAAAAGAAAGTACATTGTCCAAAGAGTGAGAGATAACGGGTGGGGAAAAAAAGGATAAGGAAGGAGATTCCATAAGGTAATAAGTTGTGATGTATAAGAATATATTGAAAATAGTATTTTGTAATGTATAGATGATTCATAAGGTTTGAGAAAATATAATGCAGAATCTGAGAATATGTATGTATGTATGTATGTATGTATGTATGTATGTATATTTGTGTTATATACTAGATAGGGAGATTGATATTAAGGTAGAATGAAGGTGTTAGCTCGAATTATTAACCACAGGGGACAATTATATTTACCGATGATTGATAAAATGACAAATGTGACAGAAAAAAGTAATATGAGAAATGACAACAGAAATGAGATGAGAATTTTAGATAATATTGTAAAGTAAGATATGAGAATGTATTAATATAACATAAATTGGAATTGGATAAGATAAGCTTAATATTTAACAATAATAAGGATGATGCGACAGACAGAAATCGACAGACAGAAATCCGCGATCATGTGTAGTTTCTGTCTGGGCTCGCCGCTGGAGCGCCCCGAGCCGGCTGGTTTCGGGGCTAAGCCACCCCGTAGAGGTGGTGAAGAGGGGGGAGACTGCCAGCAGGGTTGAGGAGGGCCGCATCTCTCCTCCTCAGCTGGCCATTACTCCCTTTCCCAAAGGCAGTTGCAGCGGTGGTCAGAAATGGCCACCACAAAGAAGAACTCGACCGGAAAAGAATGTGCAGGAGGAAGATAAGAAGTGAAAGTTTTGGCTTACCGGGTTAAATTGTAAAAGCAACAACCAAGGTACCCTGGAATTTAAACTTACAAAAAATAACATCGCTCCCAAAAAAGAGACGAAAGCAGCGAAGGAAAGTGAAAAGGGAAAGATTTGGCTTTTTTTTTCTTCTCTCTCCTTCCCTGTACTGACAACTAAGAGACTTAAATAAGAAATCGGAAAAATCCGCTTTGACATCAATAGGCAATTAAGCTGAAAATAAAACAAAATGCCAAAGGGATAATAAAGATTTCTGGACATTAAAAATTTTCTTTTTCATAAGCAGGAAGGGAGAGAAAAAGAATAAGGGCAGGATCTGGAAGAGGGAGGAGACTGCCTGGAATTAAAAAGAATCTACAGTAAAACTTCAACAAGACTTCTAAAAGATACATTTTAACAGAAACTTTGCAACTAAATAGTAACCCCAGGAAGAGAAAGTGAAAAAAAAGAGCAAAAAAGAAACAGCTTGCATGTATGTGGATTATTTGGTGATCTTTGGATTCTTGGTTATTATATTTGAATGACTAAAATCAATCGGGTGGTTATTTAAAAATTTATACAATGGCACCACTTCTGGATGAATTGAAAATGGAACTTAAAAAGTACAAAGAAGATGCACAAGAAGGGAAGGGTTCTTTTGGCTTCGTTTTTCAATTCTTAGAAATGGAGTTATGGAACTATGAGAAACAACAAGAAAAGACTGCAAAACAAGAAGACTGGGACAAAGAAGAAGCCATCTTTAATGAACAATCAATTTTATATGGCGAAGAAAAAGGAAAGTGGGGAAAGAGAATGGAGAATTTAAGACTTAAAAAAACAACCAAAGAAAAGAAAAATAATTTGAAAAATAAGTATAAAACTGGAAAGCAACAGAAAAGGGGAATACAGAAGAGACAAATAGAGTAGAGAGACAAGGGAGAAAGAGAGAGAGAGAGAGAAAGAGAGAGAGAAAATAAGAGAGACAGACAGACAGACAGACAGACAGACAGACAGGAAGGCAGGCAGGCAGGTGAACAGACAGACCTTTTGGATGGATGGATGGATGGATGGATGGATGGATGGATGGATGGATGGATGGATGGATGGACGGACAGATGGAATGCGGCAGTGGCGGCACTTTGGGAAAGCGGTGGCAGCAGCTTTTCCCAACGTGCTGCCGCATTCGAGGCACCGGTTCTGGAGCATTACTACAGTCAATGGGTGAACCTGCAGGGCCAGCGCTTCAAACGTTCCCCTGCCACCTCTTAGCATTTCCTAGGGGACCGGCAGAAGGGGGCTAAGAGGCGGCGGGGAGGCGTTCGAGGCACCGGCCCTGCAGGTTCACCCATTGACTAGCACCGCTCCAGAGCCGGCGCCTCCAATGCAGAAGCGGTGGCATGTTACATGCTGCCACAGCTGCGTTTCAATGCGCCACCCCCCTGCCATCTCTTAGCGCCCTTCTTCTGGCTCCCTTGGGGATGCTAAGAGGTGGCAGAAGGGTGTTCAAGGCGCCAGGCCTGCAAGTTCACCCATTGACTGTAGCACCGCTCCAGAGCCGGCACCTCAACGGGTGAACCTGCAGGGCCGGCTGACGCCTCAAATGCCCCCCTGCTGCCTCTTAGTGCCCCTCTGCCAGCCCCCTTGGGGACACTAAGAGGTGGCAGGGGGGCGATGCATTGAATGCTGCTGCGGTGGCACATAACGTGCCACCGCTTCCGCATTGGAGGCGCTGGGTCCAGAGCAGTACTACAGTCAATGTTCCCTGCAGGACCGGCACTTTGAATGCCCCCCTGCCACCTCTTAGCGTCCCCAAGGGGGCCAGCAGAGGGGCACTAAGAGGCAGCAGGGGGGCGGTGCATCGAACACAGCCATGGCAGCATGTAAGATTCCACCACATTGGAGGCAAAGGCTCTGAAGTGGTGCTACAGTCAATGAGTGAACCTGCAGGGCCGGCGCCTCGAACGCCCCCCTGCTGCCTCTTAGTGCCCCCCCCTGCCAGCCCCCTTGCCTCTTAGTGCCCCCCTAAGGCATCCCACCGCCCCCCAGGGGGCAGTACCACCCACTTTGGGAACCACTGGTCTAGATATACCTAGCTTCCTCAATCTCATTCTCCAAAATAAGTAAAGGATGATTCAAATGTGTAACATCCTTTTTGTTCTTGTCTGTCCAGACAAATCCCTCTCGGCACTATCCCTCAACTTCTTGCACTGCCTCTTCTACTTTCCAAACATTTTCATACAAAAAAAGGATGACAGACGAGCCGCTAGATCTGCGGTTTACTTATAGAATCACCTTCAGGCATTTGAAGATGCAGTCCTGGTTGTAAAAATACAGACTTCCTTTGTCATCCAAAAAATATTTCCCTCCCACCTCTACATCTTGCCACAAGGTAAATCATGGATCAAAAGAAGGCCAGCTGATAAAGCATTCCTTTTTATCAAATGAGATTAATAAAGGAAGCCCCTGTCATAACAGAAGGAATGCAGGGTCCTTCCTTCAACATTTCAATCAAAGGTATTCCAATCAAACATATCCAGATACCTCAGCCATTAAGGTTGACTTTTTCTGTCTGTAGGGATTTTAAATTTTTCTGTTATTTGACTTATATAGTTATTTAAAAGATGTATTGAACCTATGATTCACACAATCATTGCTCTGGGTAAAGCACATCAAGAAGGCCACCCCACACTGCAAATAAAAACCCATACATTGCCAATAAGAAAGAAACTCATAAGACAATATGTCAACATTATGCAGCTGGGATTCATCAATCATATACTCGGTGTCCCAGAATATGGCTCAACAAAGTTGAGGACATTTGAATCAGGTTTGTGAGGTGGAAGTATGCACACAAAAGAGACTTGTTCTAAAGTGTAGGCAATGCAACAAAAAAGGCAATATCATTGCTTCAAAGAGGGAGCATTTTGTGAGAAGATGTAGGATGGGCAGAGATAATGCCTTTATTGTTGTAAATCGCCAGAAATCTGTAGTTAAATCAGCAGGTCATAAATATGATCTCTTCGAGATGAGGTTGTCAAAAACCTCGTGGAGATTTGGGTCTTTTGGCAAGCAAGGGGGGAAACGGCCCAGGGATTTAGCTCTGGTCTTGAGAAAGAAGTCGGGGAGGCAAAACAATTGATCAGGAAGTAGAAAGTATAAGAAAGGAGTCAGAAGAGGCTTGGTTTGACCTGGTTGTCCTTCAAAAGAGCCAGTGAGGGTTGTGAGCAGGCTTTCAAGATTGTCTTCATACATCCTATAATAATCAAGTATTATTTCTGGAATTGTTGTGGTGCCTATAACCTTACTTTTGGTGCCCATAAGATCATTAGATAGTGGTGGAAAAGGCAACCAACTCAGAGCTCCACCAGCATCGGAGTATCTAGGAGAACTCCAAAGAAAGAATGTTATTCCTTACAATATTCCTTACATGTTATTCCTTACAGAAAAGAGCTGCTCACAATTTTTGCTCACCTAAATTCTGCTCACAAGCATTCCAAGCTGAGGCACAAATATTGCCAACACACCTACATCCATTACACCACAGGTTTTAATTATTAAAATTATCCATCTGATTCAGTGATTGATAAGCCATAACGATTTCCTAATGTCTCAATCCCCAGATGGGAAATGTAAATTGAAAAAAAATATGGTTTACTCACATACAATGGAGCTTGCTGTGGATTAAGTTTCATGACCCAGAATGCTAAAGAGAGAAAAAATAAAAACAAAAACACAAACATTAGTCTAGGAACACATATTATTGTTAATTATTGTTAATAATGTTAATAACAATGTTAATAATAATGTAAACAACAACAATAATAATAAACAACAGACCACTGATTAAAATACCCTAGTCCCCTCTCTAGCTTATTGTTCCAGCCACTGGGGCAAGGATTAGGGAAGCAATAGAGAGGAGTCCTTGACTTACAACTATAATTAAGACCAGAATTTTTATTGCTTTTTTGCCACCAGTGCTAAGGGAATCACCAGTTGTTTAGTGAATCGTGAAGTCTTTAAGCGAATCTGGCTTTCCCCATTCGCTTTTCTTGTCAAAAGTCACCTGGAAAAGTCTCAAATGGTGATCACATGACTCCAAGTTGCTATTGCAACCACCATAAAATACATCCTGACTGTCAAGTGTTCGGATTTCAATCACGTGACCATGATGGGGATTCTGCGATGGTCATAAGTGCGAGGAGTCCCTAATAAGACACTTTTCTCAATGCCGCTGAAACTTTGAGCAGTCACTACCTGAACAGCTGTAAACGGAGCACTACATATAGTATTAAACATCTAGAAAGAACCATACTAATTGTCCAGGATTCCTATCACAATAAATGTAGTCGGCTTTATGGTAGTGTCAATGTTCCGAGTAACGCATCCAAAGAAATCAGAACTCCAAGTTCCTTAGAGAACATGTTTATTGGATACATCGTATTGGCACCACCAGTGGAAAACCAACTCTAAAAGTTTCCCACTGTTCCCATGTAATTAAAAGAGCAATTTTCCTCCCCAGGTGTCACAGGTCACATTGTCCAATCAAAGCAGCTGGAGGTCTCCCTCGGCCACTCAGCCTCCTCCTACTGCCACCTGTAGGGATGACCTTGGTTCCCATGGGACAGCTCTTTAGTTTGTCTACAAGACCGTGTAACTATTTCCCCCTCATCTTTCCCCCACAGTGCGTGGCAACTATGAAGCAGCACAAGATGGCATCAGCCAGGTTAGATTCAGAGTTGACAGGTACCAGAACATTTGCAAAACTACTACTTTTTTTTTTTTACATACTTGTTCACAAATGGACAACCATCAAATGAATCCTGGTCCCTTATAAACGTTTCAAATATTGTTTTGTTAATCAAAGGTAGAATTTCAGCCAGACAACTCCAAAACAGTTTTGAGGTGGGGAAGAAAAAGGGCGTTGGTACTTACCTGACATGCCCGTTCTCTTTGCGGTGTGAAGACCATCCAGTAGTGGGAGGTGCTTCAGTGGGCTTAATTTGTGGAACGCTCCTCCTCCTCCACAATACTCCTTCCCAGCGTTCCCCAGTTTTGGCGAAGATGAAATACTTAACCACCCTCGTCCTCAATGCCCTAACAACTCATTGGCCGAAACAGGACCCTACCAGATGGAAAAAGAGGGGTAGGGCTGGATGCTCTTCACAGCTCAAAGAGAATGGGCGTGTCAGGTAAGTACCAACGCCCTTTTTCCCATGAGCTGTTCAGAGCATCCAGTAGTGGGATATACCAAAGCTTGGCCTGTCCTACGGGAGGGACTCCGTCTGGCCTGGAATCTCCTCCTGGTCCCTGTGGACCCGTTGCAGAACTCTTCTGCCAAAGGAAGCCTCAGCAGATGCAAACACATCTATTTTATAATGTCTAATGAATGGCGATGGAGAGGCCCAAGTTGCAGCTCGATAAATTTCAGTTATTGGTGCCTGTGTGGCCCACACTGCCGATGTTGCAGCGCTCCTTGTTGAATGAGCTGTTATGCCCCTGGGCACCTGCAGGGATTGAGTCTGATACGTTTTTGCTATTGCGGCCCATAGCCAACGGCCTATCGTATAAGGTGAGATCTTGCATCCCTGAGTGTTGGGCTGAAAGGACACAAATAAGGCCTCCGTTTTTCTGAAAGCCGCTGTGCGGTTGATATATATTTGCAATGCTCGCCTCACGTCAAGCCTATGCCATTGTAGTTCCATCCCTTGGGATGGTCTGGGGCAAAAATTAGGAAGTATCAGCTCTTGTGCCCTATGAAAGACCGAGTTAACTTTGGGTATAAATGTAGGATCAAGATGAAGGACCACCCGGTCAGCGTTGAAAACACAAAGATCTTGCCTGACAGACAAGGCTGCAATCTCCGAAATACGACAAGCAGAAGTGATCGCTTACAAGGAAGACTACTTTATACGTCAGAAATTGTAGACTTGACGATTTCAAGGGTTCAAAAGGGCCCTTAGTGAGTGCGACAAGGACCTTGTTAAGGTCCCAGGTGGGATAACAGTATACCGCTGGAGGGCGTAAATTTGTGGCTCCTTGAAGGAAAGTCCATATGCGTGGATGATGGGAAAGAGAAAACAGACCTTCACAAGTGAGACTTGACGCCAAGGCCGCCACCTGTCTTTTCAACGTATTAGGTGATAATCCCTTGTCAAGTCCCTCTCGCAAGAACTCTAGAATTTGAGCCACGGAAGGAGAGGTGGGATCAGTTCGAGACTCGGTACACCATTTGCAGAAACTGTACCATGTGGCATTGTAAATGCGAGTTGTTGAGGGGCCTCTGGCGGCTTGGATAGTGGCAATAACGCTGTTGGAAAACTTTTTGCTCTTCAGACAACTCTGCTCAACCTCCAGACGGTCAGGTGCAACCATTGAGGGTCTGGATGTTGAAGGGGCCCCTAAGTTAATGAAACCCTGGCTGGCAGAATTCTCCATGGAGCTGATAAAGAGAGGCTGCAGAGGTCTGTAAACCATGGCCATCTGGGCCAGTAAGGAGCTACTAGAAGTAGTTCCACCCTCTCGTCTAGCAATTTCTGGATGACCTTGGGAACCAGTGGAAGGGGCGGAAATGCATACAGAAGTCCCGGGGCCAACGACAGCAAAGCGAGTTGAAGTTCTCCGATCCTTGCGAGGAGTACCTGGAAAAAAATCTTGGGAGCTGAGTGTTGAGGGGGGAAGTGAACAGGTCCACCACTGGCTGTCCAAATGTCCTGACCACTTCTTGAAACAGGGAGGGATGGAGGCGCCACTCTGATTGATCGATGGTGACCCTGGTTAGCCAGTCTGCCTGTGTATTTGACAGACCCAAAATGTGCTCTGCTCTGATGGAAAGTAGGTTGGTCTCCGCCCAATGACACAAGCGCTCCACTTCATGTTTCGACTGTGTGCCCCCCTGTTTGTTTATGTGAGCTTTGGCTGTTACGTTGTCGGTCAGTATTAGTATGTGCTGATTGCGTACCTGTGGAAGGAAGCTGTGGAGAGCTAGGTGTACTGCTCGAAGCTCCAGCCTGTTTATGCTGCACGACTGTTCTGTGGCGGACCAGCGGCCTTGGGTTGTGAGCGATTGAACGTGAGCTCCCCAGCCAAACAGGCTGGCATCGGTGGTGATGGTAAGTCTGTGTGGCTCCTTGAAGAGGCAGCCTCGGTTGATGACTGGTCTGGTCCACCAGAGGAGAGATATGAGGACCTTTGGTGGTACCCTGACCTTGTGTTTGGAGTTGCTTTGGCCAGAGCGCTGGTACAGAAGCAGGAACCACTGGAGAGATCTAGTGTGGAGCCGGGCCCAAGAGATGATAGAGATACATGAAATCATCTTGCCTAACAATTTTGATAGTTCAGCTAGGGACACCCTCTTAAAACCCCTGATCTCTTTAACTAATTGCTGAATGCTGTTTAGTCTCTCTGGTGACAGGTAAACCTTGCCTTCCACCATATCTATGATTGCCCCCAGGTGGGTTAACCGAGGACTGAGGGTTTCTAGGATCTGACTTCCAAAAAAAGGAAGGAAGAATTTTCTTTTTGTTATGGGCTTCAATTAGTAGCTGATCAAGGGAAGAGCCAAACAATCTGTCTCCCACAATTGGGGATGAAGCCAGCTTGCATTTGTGCTTAAAATCGGCTTGCCAATGTTTTAACCATAGCAAGCGTCGCGCTGTGACATGTGAAGTAATGGCCCTGGCTGAAAACTTGACTGCATGCTAAGTTGCATCGGCTGAGAATTCAGCAGCTGCAATAAGTTTAGCAATATCTTGGTGCACTCTAAGGTTAGAATTAGGGACATGTTTTACAGGCGGAGCCATCTGAGACACGAACAGATGAAGAAGGAGGCGGCCGTGGCTGCTCTGATGGCCCACGCGTCAGACTGATGGGCTCTGCGTAGGGCTAGCTCGGCCTGTTTTTCCTCCGGCTTTAATGCCTCTAGTGCATCACTAGGAATGGAGGAGAACGCTAATCCCACTATAGGTTGATCTACCTCAGGAGTATTCAATAATTTTGAGAAATCAGGGGCCAAATTGAAATATTTCCTGTCATATCCAGTGGGGGCTGAGTACACTGCTGCAGAGGCCCACTGCTTCTGCACCAGGTCTGAAAACATGGGAGGAACTGGGATCACCTCTGCTTCAACTACTGGTTGGTTGAAAATTAGATCTTCTGGTCCCTCTTCCAAAGGAGCTGGGGTGGTAGAAGGGGTCGACTTGTTTAGGCGTGCAATATTTTTTGCCTTAAACAAGAGAGATCTGAAAAGTTGTGGGCGGAATAAGCCTGTAAAAACAGGTTGGTCAGGAACAAGACCCTCATCCTCAGACATTCCCCTTTCTAAGAGGTCTGCTTCTGACAGGGGCTCGCTGTCCTGTATTGATCCTGATTCAATCTCTTCCATTTGATCAATTTGATCCACTTCTTCCTCTTCCTCCTCCTCCTCGGTCGGCCCTTGGAGGGGAACCTTCCCTTGTAAATGTACCTGGGTATGGTGCTGCTCCGACCTGGTCAATGACCTCAGTGATTGGGAATCATGATCGGCAATCACAGGATATTCCCTGATCATAACTGCGTGTTGAAGCCCCGCTGCAATTCCCTGGCGGATTGCTAGCTCCATCCAGGCCTTCATCCTCTCTGGAACTTTCTCTGTAAGACTAGCGCCCTGACGAAGACCAGCAGCCGTCGGAGTGAATGTGGCTTTGGGAGGCCTTTGTGTGGTCGGTG